CTGTTGCTTTTTACAGATTCAGACTAACACGGCTACCCCTCTGATACCAGATAGCAAGTGTGACAAATCAGGACAGTGGGTGGGTGGTAATAGGCGCCTATATAAGACAAAGCCCAAATATCGGGTCTGTCCCTATAAAATCGGGACATCTGGTCACCCCCCTATTTGGGATGTCCACATCAGTTTTCTTGAGACATGCCTTCAGGGCATGGTAGAAGCCTGCAAGTGTTTTCTTTAAATGTGGGGCAGCTGGTGCTCCAGCAGCGACCGCACGATCATGACAAGCAGGAGGTCTGGGGCCCAGCGGCAGGGAAAGTCTGAGATGACTGGAGATCCCAACTCGCTGCAGCCTTCACCTGCTTTCACAGCCATTGGGATCCAACGATCCTCTTCTGCCTGATCCACCATTGAGGACTGGGGGGGGAGGGGGGTTGTGTTACATGCCCACACTGCACTACGCAGCCATTCTGACTTGGATCTGCTACTTGACCTGCATCCCCACTGTCCAATGACAGGGACTGGGCTCAGGATCTGACCATCCTCACTAGCTGTGTCCTAGGACCTAGGTCCTGAGTGCCTGCTGACCCAAGTCGGACTGATTTGTGTCTGCACAGACTTGAGGCTTGGGCTCAAACCTGAGTTGGATCCCACGCTTAGTGTGCAGTGTAGATCCACTCATGCCAGGCTCAGACCAGGCCCCTGCAGCCAGGCCCCTGCAGAGAGGGTTTCATTGCCTAGTTACCTGGTTACCTGGGAAACCAACAGTCTCTTTGTGATGTCAAACTGACTGGGGAGGTTTTGCAGCCCAGCTGAACTGCCAAGGGAGAGAGGGAGCAGGAAGAGCTGGGGGCTGCCGGGATCTACTAGGGTTTTTGAAATTTAAGTGACACTTTGACAACGTGTTAACCATAGATCTGGGCCCTAAACCCTCCTCCCTGGGAAGGGAATCTGTGCAGATGGAGAGTGGAAGAATGAATGGGGTGTGAATGGACAAACACATGGGCAGGGCACATGGTGAGGGAATGAGGTCTCATCTGTATGTGAGGCAGGTTGAATGGGAAATGAAATGGCCCTTACTCATCGAAGTCTACACACGTTGAGATACTGAAGGCAGCAAAACTAGAGTTTGTTACTAGAAGAAATTCAGACCAAGGGGGAGGAGCTAATAAAGCAAAGAGCTACAAGGAAAACAGTGTTCACTCTCTGGGGCCTGGAAAGGGGAAGAAATCTGCTAACTTCTTCCTGTGAATTCAATTGACTTTTCTTCCGCTTCACCTTTACAACAAAGACACCCAAGATGGAGGTGTGAAACCTTTCCCTTAGAGAATGGCATTCAGTCACTTTCTTTTGCTTCTTCCCATCATTAGCTGTGCAGGTAGGAGAGATGTATTTGTTTTAAAGGAGTCTTTTCTAATGGGTATTTTCATTGTTTTCTTTCCATCTATCTAGCCCTGGAGTTGGTCTTGATAGCTGGTTAATAGCTAGTTGGCAGCCAGGACCTCCCTTGCTTCTATTAATTAAAGGGCAAAAAACTTGGTTAATGCCTACTGAAGTTTGCCTGGTGAGATGTTATTCCTTTCAGAACCTCAATGTCAGCAAAATTCAAACTTTTGAAAACCAGGAAATGAACAGTTAAGGTTGTCCACTACTGACAGACTCTTCCCACCTCACTGACCCCTCCTCACTCATCCACACTACCCCACCCAATTCCCAAAAACCTGGGAGGGGGAGCTCATTTTCCCTTGTGATGCCCAGAGTTCCTCCAGTTACAGCTGAAGCTGAGATGGATGCTCCGTTTGGTTTCTCCCCTGTGAGAACCAATGGGTTAATTTAGATGGCAATTCAAGGTCCACTCGCTGATCTCCACCCTGATTTTCTGCAGTTCTGGCCCACGTTGCTTATTGAAATAAATGGCTCCAGATTCCCTTTATACATTTTATTAAAATGAAAAAAACAAAATCAAGTACACACATCACTAAGGCTAAACTATTGTATACATGACTAAACTAACTATGGGGGTGAACGCACTGTTACCATGTTAAGGTCAAAATCAGTAAATCAATGCATTAACAATGCTATTGCATAGGAATCATGTTATCACCATATCAAATGATCAAATTAATACAACCGATCATCAACCCTTATAAATCCTAAAACAGGAAGCCAAGGAGGCGGCTGTCCAGTTAGTTGAAAACCTCAGAGAACTTCACCCACACTGTGCAATCCACATTGAGCTCGTTATATATTTCAATACGGAAACCAAAGGATTGTTTGTCTTTAAACTACAACCTCAAAGCCAATTAAAGCTTCCTCCTTTAACTGAATTCTTGTGTGGTTAATCCTTCTCTTTCCACAAACACAGCCCTTACTGAGGCTTTCATGAGCAGAAGTGTAACAGTTGTGACTATAGCTGACAACTTAATTTATTGGTGTGCTTGCACAGAATGAAACGCACACACTCAGCAATGTCATTGGGGAGAGTTTTAGGGCTACAAAGATTAGGGCAACTAGTCTATCTGATGCCTTCCTTTGTGGATTTTATGGGTGATCAACACAGGGGAATGCACTGAGCCACACTCTAATATTATAAAAAGGTCAGGACATCTCCCTGCTAATGCAAAGGAAAGAGAAAAAAACAGAAAAAGGAAAAGTACTACAATGAGAAGGGGTTGGAACTCTGCAGCTCTTTCAGTTTTTGGACTTGTGTGGTAGGAGTTGGAGCTGGTCAAGGAACCAAGCGATGGGGTAACTAGCCCAGCACTCCCCACTAGCAGGGTTTATTAGGCAGAGAATACAGGCCTACCCTGTCACTGATGCTGTGAGCTCCTTCCCGGGGGGACCAGTCTCTCTTAGACACCCTGGTGACCCGAAAGGCAAAGGACTTCAGCCTTTCCCTTGGTGTTTGTGGATGACGATTCCAGCTTATCCTAATTCATGGTGTCTCCCCTGAGATCTTCCAGGTAAATCAGATATGAACTATGCCTTGGATACAGACAACATGCCCAGTTGTTGTGTGTCTGAGTTAACGACTCGAGATTGTCAAAATAACAGGTTCAATTGAAAAGATTTAATCTAAGATTATTAATCAGAGATTAGTATAGCACTATATAGAATACAGAAATAAATAGATCCATTACTGCCCTTTGTTGTCAGACTAAGAGCTGGATATGTGTCTGTCCTGCATCTGTGCAGTTTTCATTCCCCCAACTAAGTTCCCACATCGGTATCATTGTATAGGATTTCAGACAAAGGAAACCTACTTGCCAAGAATAGTCTCCCAGAAACATATGTTCTGGTGTCATTTCTGAACATTCTCAGTTTACCTGACTCATGGGAGAAGGCATGATTATTTACAGCTGAGAGGACTAACAATTCTTCAAGTTAATATCTCTCAGTGGATCTTTCTTACCCCACAATCATTCTTCCATGTTGATTTCCCCAACAGAAAACATCTGCTATAACAATAATCTCTTATTAGTGTCCCTAATCTATATAGGCCTATGTTAGCATTTTATATATATGTTAAGGAGATGGTTTCCAAGAATATAAAGAGTTTTACAGACATGAAGGCACCCTAGAGTTATTAAAAACAGCATAATGAATAAATTCCTGAATAGGGTTACACATTGATCAAGACCTGTGTTCTGGGGCTTCGAATTCAGACATACGCTTTGTAGAAGATAAAGATTCTAAAGAATAGTAAACATATATATGAATCAAATATATAGAAAAAGAAAGAAAGAAAGAAAGGTATTATTTTTACTAACAAGTACTAACACCAGTCCTGTTGGAATGAGGTAGACTTTCGGCTAACGTCAGTTTGGAAAAGTCTCCTTTAACTCAGCAGTTTTCCTAAAATAGCTCTTGTTGCAAACCACATTAATCGTGGATGTGTGAACCCCAAAGATACTCACTGTGTCATGCATCCATCACAATTCTTATTAATAAGTGTGTGTATCTCATGACACATCTCACATCTTTCCTTTGCAAACAAGAGAGAGTGGGAACTCCATGATCCTTAAAATCTAACTAGGGAAAAGGTCACACAAATTGTGCCCTTAAGTTGTTTTCCTCTTTACAGACATTTACTTTAGCACTTATCCAAATGAATTCCATTTGAAATACAAATAATTAAATTCTCTGTGGTGTTTGTATTCTAAGATCCATTACTTTTCTCACATATTTCCCCACCCCAAGCTTTGGAGTAAGGTCTGATGTCAGAGCTCCTCTGTCCATGGGGGATAAATTACCCCAAATAAGCTTTTCAGCATTAACCACCATTGCCTATATTAGTAACAAAAAGAAAAAAAACAATATATCCTTCAGTTTTCCAATATAATTCAGGTTATCACACCATTAGCATCTTACTCTTTAACCAATAACTTCATGTTTAATTTCTTTTTCATTGGTATCAATGACACACCAAAATATTGCAAAATCTTATATGATGAGATAACTGGCTCTCTGGATATGGGGAAAGTGGTGGACGTGATACACCTTGAGTTTAGTAAAGCTTTTGATACGGTCTGCTACAGTATTCTTGCCAGCAAGTTAAAAAAGTATGGGCTGGATGAATGGACTATAAGGTGGAAAGAAATCTGGCTACGTTGTCAGGCTCAACGGGGAGCGATCAACAGCTCGGTGTCTAGTTGGCAGCTAGTATCAAGCGAAGTGCCTCAGTGGTCAGTCCTGGGGCTGGTTTTGTTCAACATCTTCATTAATGATCTGGATGATGGGATGGATTGCACCCTCAGCAAGTTCGCGAATTAAATTAAACTGGGGGAAGAGGTAGATATGTGGGAGGGTAGGGATAGGGTCCAGAGTGACCTAGACAAATTAGAGGATTGGGCCAAAAGAAATCTAAGGAAGTTCAACAAGGACAAGTGCAGAGTCCTGCACTTAGGACGGAAGAATCCCATGCACCGCTACAGGCTGGGGACCAACTGGCTAAGCAGTAGTTCTGCAGAAAAGGACCTGGGGATTACAGTGGACGAGAGTCAGCAGTGTGCCCTCGTTGCCAAAGAAGGCCAATGGCATATCGGGCTGTATTAGTAGGAGCACTGCCAGCAGAACGAGGGAAGTGATTATTCCCCTCTATTTGGCACTGGTGAGGCCACACCTGGAGTATTGCATCCAGTTTTGGTCCACTCACTACAGAAGGGATGTGGACAAATTGGAGAGAGTCCAGCGGAGGGCAACGAAAATGATTAGGGGTCTGGGGCACATGACTTATGAGGAGAGGCTGAGGGAACTGGGGTTATTTAGTCTGCAGAAGAGAAGAGTGAGGGGAGATTTGATAGCAGCCTTCAACTATCTGAAGGGGGGTTCCAAAGAGGATGGAGCTTGGCTGTTCTCAGTGGTGGCAGATGACAGAACAAGAGGCAATTGTCTCAAGTTGCAGTGCGGGAGGTCTAGGTTGGATATTAGGAAACACTATTTTGCTAGGAGGGTGGTGAAGCACTGGAATGGGTTACCTACGGAGGTGGTGGAATCTCCATCCTTAGAGGTTTTTAAGGCTCGGCTTGCCAAAGCCTTGGCTGGGATGATTTAATTAGCGTTGGTCCTGCTTTGAGCAGGGGATTGGACTAGATGACCTACTGAGGTCTCTTCCAACCCTAATATTCTATGATTCTATGACACAAATGCCTACGACTCAAAAGGAAAGGAATTGATAGAAAAGATCACAGGACTGACGCCAAAGAAGGGTGAGCTGCAAAAGGCAGAAGCAGGCAACTCATCTGGGGGAGCTGAGAGATCACAGTGAAGATCGTGCAAAGATCACTATGTGGGAATTAGCAAATGTGATTTAAAAAAAAAAAAAAATCTTTGGCCAGCCCTAGTCAAGGCATTTATTACAGTTCTCTCTCATGTGGATTTTCTGATGTCTAATAAGGTTTGAGCTCTGATTGAAGTGTCTCCCACACTCAGAGCATGTGTACGGTGTCTCTCCTGTGTGGATTCTTCGATGTGATGTAAGATTTCCGCTTTGATTAAAGCTTTTCCCACATTCAGAGCATGTGTAGGGCATCTCTCCTGTGTGGATTCTCTGATGTGTGATAAGCTGTGAGCGCCGATTGAAGCATTTCCCGCACTCAGAGCACATGTAGGGTTTCTCTCTTGTGTGGATTCTACGATGTCTGATAAGGTGTGAGTGCCGACTAAAACCTTTCCCACACTCAGAGCATGTGTAGGGTGTCTCTCCTGTGTGGATTCGCTGATGTGAGATGAGGG